GTTGAGATCGCCTTCGTCTCGGGTTGGTTAAAGGCGTAAAATTCCAGAAATGTGTTTGATGTCGTTTTATTTAATGTTTAGTTCGAACGGGTGTCGTTCTAGGTGTATGGTTTTACACTATCTGTCGACCTTGTGCAGGTACGTCGGTTTTATACTAGTTTTGGCACCTTGCTTCCGACCAATCAATGGTCAGGAAAAGGGCTTGGGAGTCGAGCATCGCTTCGTGGGTTTTTCCCGACTTCGCCCTCGTTCCTACCTATGGCGGTTGCTTGGCGTTTTTGGTTTATAATTATAAAGGTATTTGGTAATGATAATAATAATATCTAATAATAATGTTAATAATAATACAATAATAGTATCTAATAACAATGTGTGGGGGAAAGGCGGTGGGTACTTTCGTGACACCCCATTTGCTCAGCCTCAATTGGCCAAACGGTGAGGAGGACACTCGAACGAAAGTTTTCCAATAAATGACGTTTATGTCGACCAAGTCGTCCCTCACTGCCAATCCCTCGACAAATATTGTAAAGAAATTTTCAGGTCGCTTCTACCTCCCCCTCCCCCTCTCCGCTGTGAAATATTTATGAATTTTCAAAAGGTGTCGTGGATTCGAAACAATCTGAGTTTCTCCTTGTTTCTCCACTTTCCTGTGGTCCCTCGTTCTTCGTCGCGATACTCGAATTCGGACGACAGGTCGTTTTGAGGCCCATTGTCCTACACGATACTCCAACATTCCATTGTACCTTACGCGAGATCAGTTTTTCAATCTACAGATCGTGGTATTGAAAATAGATCGAGTTACGAAAGTTTGATGACAATTGTGAAGGGAAAGTAGCGAAGAATCCGAGAGAATTGTGAAGAGTCGTCGTAAAGTTTCATTTTATGAAGCGTATGGAAAGTAGTTTACAGTATTACTTTCTCGAGAAGATAAAAGAAAAATAATTTGCACGTTAATGGGTTAAAAAAAAAATTAAAAAATGATCTGCAGTCATGTTTGGAGTGCAACGCACTTCCGGTTCGAACATTAGCGAGAGAGAGAGAGAGAGAGAGAGAGTCACACGGAGCACAGATACCATCTTGCCGAAAGAGGAATAACTCTGATCCCCCGCGAGACGGCCGAATAAATTTTTGCAAAGAGTGCCCGAGTAAATATGTAACGCGCCGCTGCCATGTATCCAGCGAATATACTTCCGTACATGGTACATCTTTCTCCGTCGGTTGCACACCCGGCCGAATCATGAAAAAGCAATCGCGAGAAGCGAGTCGTGTGCCGCGATACGTAACGGGACCATCGTGGAACGATAATTTTCTTCTTTGAGATAGAAATGAACCCATCATGGAACAACTGACACGTATACGAGGGGAAAAAGTTTATGGAATTGAAGATCAGATCAATTTCGCAATTATAATGATATGAATAGTAAGTGAGAATTATTAGTAAAGAAGGTTTCGTTTAATTGGAGAAAGTTTGATTCCGTAATGGAACACGTTTCTTCAAGATAAAAGTAAGTAGTGATATTTTATTTCTTGATCTGGTAATAATTTGAAATTATACTAAGAATTTTTGATTTTTAAGGTAACTCGTGTAATTATAATCGTATTTTTTTCTTTGTGGTAGAATAAAATAAGAGAAGAAATTGATCGAATGTTTAATAGGTCGGTAAGTGCGTTTGCATCTATACCGACTGGCGACTTACCTTACAATTCCTCCATGATCGATGATCGCCTCTCAGACATCGTTTTTATTTAGTATAATTAGTATAATTTTCCAAGTTTTCGTTCAAATTTCAGAATTTTTTCAATTATTAACGATATCTGAACTTAGTTTATTCAATTCTGTAATGAAATATTATTTAAAAAATAAGTGTTTCGCAAAAAGAAATGAGTGTGATGTGTAAGGGAGAAATAAATTTATAGTAAAATGCTATAAAACAATATTGGTATATTGTAACCTTTTGTAAATCACATTCTGAACAGTATTTTGTACACATTCTTGCAATAAATAATTTTTTTTTATAAATAACTGCATTTCTTCGTTTTTCCTTATATTTACGTCCTTTCCTTGATTCCTGTGAAAGCTTGAAAGTTCCATCTGTAATTTACACAAAAAGAACATTAATTTTTCAATTTTCAATGAAAATTACAAACAATATTTAACTAATCTACTATATGCAATTGTTAATTCAATGTGAAATTAATAAATTAAGCTGTTTTAAACTGTTATTTAGCAAGAAATACTGATTATTCCATAATTAAAGTACTTGAAAATAAAAAGAAAAGTTAGGTAAAAACTTAATTTTACTATCTACATTATTAGTAATGTTAAAGCAGATAAAAGTTTATTATAAGTACCAATTTTAAACTGCTTCTTACATGCAATTATGCTCTAATTTACAATAACTATTATTAAGAGGGAAAAATTCAAAGAATTTCTAACTAACCTCATAATACTTCATTTCTGACGATGCTCTCGATGATACCCTCGATCCTTCAGCTTTGAATGCTAACGGCAGACTGAGCAGAACAATCCCTCTGGTTTTATTTTTTTAACCCCCAAATTATACTCTTTCAATCAAAAACTGCGCTATTTGTAATATTTCTCCCATTGAAATCTCATTCGATTTAAAGTATGAAGCCTGTGACGATGTTGTCAAACTCCGATGACAATTATGTAGAACAAGAGGACAAGGCGACTAAATAATCTTTAATTTTCTATTCTTTTATCAACGTGCTACATTATCGACAGCTGATTGAAAATCATTTGTCAAACCATTTACCTACACTGCAATTTCCCCTCAAGCAGCGGCAATGTAAGACCGAAGAGTATGTAGTGGGAATAGCCTGACCGCCTATTTTCCCTTTACATTTGGTCAGGCGATGGCATCAGGAGCCTCAAGATTGCTTTGCCGGACAACAGTATTGTTTCTAGATATTTTCATTTAACACCAAGCTTCGCAATCGTACATTCTTCGTGTTGAAGATGGAATAACCATGAAGTATCGGTAAAAACGAAGAAATGACAGTTCAGAGTTGAAGATAAGGGACGAAGAGAGCAGCTTTACCGACTTCTTCGTCTGTTTCTTCTGGATAGGGAGAGATGGAGATACTTGAGCGAGAATTACTCTTGGATCTATAGATCCCTCGATCTTCCTCTACTTCGAACTTTTTTGTAATCTCAAACTTTGCACTTTTTAAAACGACTCTGAAATATAGGATGTTTCAAAAATTATCTGTAATTATAAAATCGATATTTATATAAATATTCAAGAGATAGAAATTTAAAGTTACACCTGCTAACAAAAGCAGAGCAAACTCAAATTTAACGAAGATGTAAAAATATTTAGACAGAAATGTTAACTTTTCTTCTGAGCAATTCAGAAACAGGAAGTGGAGGAATCAGTGCGAAGGATGGAGTATGTCCGCGGATATAATAGATACCGTGTATTATATAAAATCTCATTGTTACAACGTACATAATCGTACATCCGTTCGACAGAGCCCTCATCGTTCGTTTTCTTCAATTTTTTTTTCCGAATGTTCGATCGTGCAACAGATACACGGTGAAACGAACAATTAATCCGATTGTGTTGCTCATTCACGAACAATATTCTCTCTCTCTCTCTCTCTCTCTTCGCGTGTCCCGCGATATTGCACACCGATTCGATCAATAGCACGCAGAGCGAGAACGAGGAAATCGGACGCTGCCATTTGCCAATAGAGGACAATTCCATTGTTCTTATTGCCATTAAAATTTTCCTAATAATTCATCTCGGAATAAAATATCAATTATAATTAATCACTGGCTAAGAAAAATATTTCTTTATACAAGGTGGTCCAAAAAGTCACATTATCGTGATAAATTTCCAAGCAACAAAAATTTTCAACATCTGAAACGAAAAATTTTAAAACGTAAAAATAGAAATAAAGTTATCCAATTTTTGAATGGTTAAGCGACCACTCGGTATATTCTCGAGTGAAAAATTTATTAAATAGGGGAAAAATGTGTACCTTCGAAGTAAAACAATTAACATCCGATTTTCTCTGGATATATTATATGTATATATTTATGCACAAATGCATACAAAGCACGTATCCACTCACACCCATTAAATATCACATGGTACGACCATCTGCTTCTTTACAAGGGAGACTAGCTTAAGGTAATTCCGTCACACGGCGACGAGAATATCGCCAATTCTCTTATTATACCATTAACACAACCCTGAATTATCTGTCGAAGTAAAATTGTCCCTTTTCGAACGACAGGAATTTCGACGAAAAAAAAAAAAATTCTTCCTGTTCATCCATCGTATGATTAGAAAGGTACGATTTTAAACGATAATTCTAGGTGATCTGTTTTACGATCTCGTATGTACAAAATACATAAGTATTTTCTCTGTTTCCTTATATATACAAAACACGTTAAACTCTCCGCGAACGACGAGTAAAAATTTCCCCAACAATTTTCCCGTCGTTCTCCAGAATTAAAAAAAAAAATAACTGTATGTTAAAAGTATCTCCTTGAGTCGTTAACACGTACACATAAATACTATCCACAGGAACGTAACGGTAACGGTGGATCGTCCTAGGGAAAATCTGACGAAAGGATCCTTTCAACCTCTTCAGACACACCGACACATTTTTTGAAAATTCCAATATTTGTGATAGTAGGTAAATTTAATTGAAATCAATTTAAAATTAATGTAAAACATTAGATAATTTTTTTCTAACTTTAAAAAAGTCGTCCCTGAAGAGGTTAAAGAAATTTCACGAATTTTTGATCCACCATTATGGTTTGGCTCCAAAAAAAAAAAAAAAAAAAAAAGAGAGAAAATGCTAAAGGAGTCCTCGTTTCATGTATCTACACCTATATACAGAACTTTTGAAGAAACACAACCTTGTGTGATCGAGAAATGGTCCCGATCTTCGCGTGTTAAGTGACGCTGAAGTTAGAGTTGATTTTCCTCTTGCTCGCGAGACATGGATCATCCAGCTGGTCATCATCTGTGCGGACAATTGGGTACGTGCGGGAACAGATGGCAGTGGATCGACCTGAATCTGTAATTAAAACATATCGACACGTTCACGACGAGACTCTTGGACCGACGATTGCATTGGTTCCTCTATGGAGATAGCTAGTGTAGAGGATTTGACTAGTTGGAAAGTTTGAAATGAAAGAATTTGAATATTTGAAATATACGAAATATTCAGCATAATCTGAATTTCAAACACTTCGGATATTTGAATTGCCCGAATAAAGAATTGGTATTGGAAATTATTACTAAGATAGAGACTGAAATATCGATAACAGCACTGTAGGAATATTCTTAAGTAAAATTCGGGGGAAATGGGAAATTGAAGAGTTACAGAGTTAAAAATACTCCTAATTAGAAATTTGAGAATATTGAAACTCGAATCGCTGGACAGTTAAAAAATAGGAATACTGAAAGTTTCAAGCTTTTCAAAACTTTCGAAAATTTGTTGACCCTGTTCCTGTAGGCTTCAGGAAAATTGAAATTCCAAAGCACTCTCTAGTAAAATATCAATACTATCCATCTGCAATTTCCACCCTCGTTAACAGACTGACGCACGGTTCACCTAATCGATAATTCATTGAGAGTACACTGTCACTGATACCAGCACACGGAAGTTTCCTTATTTTTCCAGAAAGAAAGAAAAGTCCAACGGGGAAGAAATGAAGGAAAAGTGCTGCAGAGCAGGTTGAAAAGAATGATAAAAGCGGGAGGAAAAGGGCTGGTAAAAGCGTGGACCGACTGGTAATTATAATAAAGTCAATTAAGAGCGATGTGCATGGTGGCACCTTTGTCATTAGGCGGTCCCTTCCGCTTGCGTCCCTCTAGCCACGGGCAATTACCCAAGCAATTCGAGGCTGGAACCGGGTCGAAGAAACAGGAGAACGATGCACGTGTAAGTACTCTACGCGTCTTTTGAAAATGGAGGAAAGGAGATGAAAGGAGGAAGATTCTGGTACACGTAGAGCTGTCCGTTGCTAATTACTCTTCCCTTCTCTCTGACGGCTAACCTGTTGTGTTTCTCGTCCGGTCGAATGGTAAAAAAGATAGATTAGCCTGGAAGAGGGTAAAGAAGCGACATTAGAAGAAGGAAATGGGAAATGGAGGAACTATTGCTGAATTTTTTCTTATTTCTCCGGGGTCAATAATTTTCAGTAGCTAAAGTGTGTGGAATTATATAGAATTGTACAATTTGCGTCTGCAAGATTTAGTAAGAAATTTCAGAGAGCAAGGAATTTGGAAAATCTTGCGTCTAAAAGGGAATTTTATTATTTTTTTTTTTTTATACGAAACGTACCTTTTCGGGTCGTCCTTCATGTCGAAACCATCGATCTTTAGGATGTTCCACTCGTCCCTCGGTCCCTTGGAGTAACTGAACGACACCTGGAACACATAGTACGAAGAAATAATTAAAAATTGTTTAAAAACTACTGCCACGATAGGCGAGCAGCGTGCACGAACGTCACAAAGGAACGCGATATCGCTTATTTTCGCATACCGAGTTCCAAGGAGAATCAGGCAACGTGAAACGCGAGCTCGAAGGTCTGATCAAGTTCCGCTGCCCACGAGCACAACGAAAATATTTGTTCAACGAGCGTTTCGAAGCTCCACTATACGATTACGTTACTCAAGCAATGGAAATTTTTGCTCCGCTCATTTTTTCCACTCGTCAGCATCTGGTGTAACTGTTGAAATAACGTTGCACGAAACCTGCGAGTGACCTTATAGCGCGGTTAAGCGTCGAAAATTCATTCCGAACGGAATTTCATTTCCCCTGGTCGAACAGGAATATTCGTGATAACGAGCCGTATGGAAAAAATTTCATCAAGGAATTACACGTAGCGGTGGAAAGTGAGCAGGCGTTAATGGCACCTGGCAGCATGGGACGATCACGCGAACAATGCGATCACCTGCTCCGTTCGTGGGTCGACTCAAGGGGAATGCTGGTAATTCCCGAACAACGGACAACCGGCGACGATTGAATCAATGGTCATTGTTCGCGGTCGAGCAGAAAGAGTGAGAGAGAGAGAGAGAGAGAGAGTTGCGGTGATTCATCACGGGGGATTATTCTATTACCCGCGATTAGACTTCACACTGCGACCCGCAACCATCTTAATTCCCCACCGGCGTAAGTTTTTTAATCCCTCACTCGCACCGGATCAATTAATCACTGCACCCGTGGAACGCGGCCGTGATTGAGTAATGCGACCGGTATTCCGTCTCGAGACGGGAATCGCGCTTTTCTGAACACAATCGTACAACTACGGAATTGCTCTATAATCGAATTGTAAGAGCTTTAAAATTACGTAATCGAAGAACCGTACAGTATCCAAATATGACATACTAGAACTGAGAGTACGGAATTGCTCGGCTTGGAATTGCAAGATCGCGGAATTGCGCGCGCGGAACAACGAAAACGCGGAGTTGCGGTCCACAGGCTGGAATTGAAATTTTTAACATGGAATTGCGGGTGTGGAGTTGCGTTTTCGTTCAAAAAAATTGACAGCTTTCAGAAACTTACAATTGAGGAAATTTTGGAATCGTGGAATTGTAAAAATTATGAAGTTCATTCATAAAGCAATTCCAGGATGAAAATGTGAATGAATTTTTCCAACTCACCTGTTCACCGAAGGTGTCCTTGTTGAGGAACTTCATCGGCTCCAGATGAGAATGGAATTGCTCCACCACGGTGAGTTGTTTCTTCAACAAGTACTCGATAATATATCCCATCGTCACGTCGTCTGGTAGCCTAATTCTGTCACCCACCGTGATGAACTTTCCGCCTCTGTAAAGCAAACAAGGGAACAATCGTTAGTAACGTCGCTCGTTTCGTGGCACCCGTCAATTAACTAAGCAACAACAGGAAACTGTCTGGCGTCCTTGCAAATTGCTCGTCTGAACGTGACTCTGCCCGATCAATTAATATAATCACCAACAATTATTACACTTCTATCTCTGAATTAACCCTTTGTACACGTATTACCAGTAAACCTCTCTACATACTGTAAAATGTACAACAGGTCACCAACCTCTCATTCCTTAGAGCCACTTTAAAGCTCTGTAGGAGACACCGACGAGATTTACAATTCCCGGCTTTTACTATTTCGCGGCGTATTTCACGTAACTGAGAGAAGGAGGGAAAGGAATAAAATCTATTTCACCCGTTGGCCGCGGTATGAGTTATAACAAGCCGGGTCGCACGCGATACTTTTTTGCCTGTTTCCTCGCGTGGACCGCGCCCACCGTTTGCTAGAATTATCCGGTGTTTATTATGGACGCGCATCGGGCGGCCAGACGTAAATTCGAGAGAAAAGAAGAGCGGAAGAGGAACGGGACGGCGCGGCGAGGAACTGAACGACGATAAATTCTTCGCCTCTATGAGGCGTGCGCTCGCGTTTCTGTGTACCGGGTGTCCAGGAAACGTGACTGTCCCAAGTCCTGGTTATTATTTACGGTTATCGAGGAAGTTAATGGCCAGTGCTTGCCATAGGATCCCGGCGATAGCGTCAACCAATGGATTATTTAAAGGAAATTGTGTCTGATCGAGGAAAACATGGATATATTTTTCACTCGGCAAAGATAAATTGTTGTTTCGAAGGACTTACGAGTCCGTATGTACCGAAACTTACGAGGTGATTCTGACGAGGTTTCTATGGGGTTCACCCTTTTACCAGCGACTTCTGGGAAAAAATCGGAGACAAGAGTAAATTGAGCCTCAGAAAGGCGGAAAGTCACGCGACTAGAAATGCTCGAAGCTTTCGCGTGCCGCCGGGGACACGCATACACATATGTGATTAAGATCGACCGGAAACGTGCCATGGGGACACGGTTGCACCGCAAAAAGGACGACTTGTCGTGAAGTTTCCTTTGTGTCTCCATTTGAGCTCTCGTTCTCTTTTGACAGTATAATCGCTTGTTCGAAGCGGACGATAAACATTTGCGTGGAATTCTTTTACTTTCTGTAGAATTCTAATTTTCGACAATAAAAATCAACCTCTCTCGGTGTATCGAAAATTAGAAACGCATCTCTTCCTACCAGCTTCAATCTCCAAAACTTTCAACACCTCAGCCCATCGCTCTCCCTTTCAATTTCCAATCTTCAAACCACCTCCCCTTGATTCAGAAGAAAGGAAAAAAGAAAAAAACAGAAAGCGAATGAACTCTTCGTGGATGAAACAAGGCGGCTCAAACGCAGCGTAGAAAATAATTTCAAGCCCGTCGAGGCGTGTCGCGTCGCGTTAACCGTGTTCTCGCGTGCCATCGAATCAGATTCGCCACGCGTCTCCTCCGTCAGAATCGAGAACAGAGGAGCCAAGGCTCGTTCCCCTTCGATTAATAGGTCGAATTATCGCTGTAATCGATGGAAATTCGTTAGTGGACGAGGCGTATCGGCGGCAGAACTCTGCCTACAGGCTGTTAATAAATGCGCGGGGACTCTCGGTTTAATGCGGCTAACCAGTTCCAGCCGCGTGCAAGAGGGAGCAAAGCAGCAGGTGCACAACCTCGAACCGGCTAATCTACATGCCTGGAATGCCGGTAAATTAACTAGCCTCTCTCCGATATACCCGCGGATCCGACAATTAAACGGGCAGCTCGTTACTTTCTCATTATCTGATTCTAATATTTCTCGCGCAAAAAAGGCCTCCGGTTTCGATTCGAGCACGCGTTTCTGGGGCTTCCTGTGTGCGTTCCTCTGCACGACGTAGGGTCGATGATCTTTTCCATACTTTTTCGGGTCCTTTTTAATCTAGATTTCAGGTGTTAGGTAGTTCTGGACGTTTGGTAGATGGTAGACGTTTATTCTCCGGCAGATTTTCATTTCTTTGTGGGTTTTTTTTTAAAGTGGATGTAAATTGTTCATCTGGTAATTGTTATGGGCTCTGGTAGACTACACGTGATCTTCTCTTTGCGTATCTTTTCATTGATTTGTACTAGAGAATTTTCGAATCAAGTGGAATATTAGAAATGTACGAAATATTCGGCACAATCGAATATTCAAATTATAAAATTCCTCCTGAAATTCGAATAGCAATATTCCCTTGAGCATTCCCGTGCACCTTAGACGGTATCTGGTGTTGAGAGGTAGCAGAAGAGGGAAATTTGGGTGGACGTTGATCGAGCAGTGAAAGCGAGAAGACGGTTGATCCGCGGTGGACATAAATCGTGCCAATTAGAGCGGCGAGCGGTAGCCGCGGATCCACAGTATGCGCGCTTGTATATCGCGCGCCACCTTCTCCACGTGAGAGAACACCGACGGACAAATGTCTCAAAGGCGAGCCGCCTATCGTACATTTGTCCAGTGAACCCTTCTTCCACTATTCCCCAGGTAAAGGAGAATGAACCAGTCGATAATAGAAATTAAATATATTATCCCATAAGTTCGTATCGAATTTTACATCGAAATTTAGACACCTTTATATTTTACAAGAAAACGTAATCGTCTTCGCCCACGTTTCTCATATAAAACTTCTTTGGTTTTTCATTAAAATACTTTTCGCTTTCAGCACGAACTTATAGGATGACTTAATAGTAACAGCATCATCGTATATACAGTCCGTGACAGAAAGATAGGTTCGGTAATTTTTTTTCGAATAATCATAGAACAAGTATTTTTTGAACTGTAATACATGAAATTTATTGGTAATACCCTGATAAGCCTTGATAGTAACGTAGTCTCAAATGAGAGATATATGTATGATATTGACATAGAACCACAAAGAGATTATCGCCACCTCCCACTTTTCATCAGTATTAAATCTGCTGCTAACTTTTTATAGATTTCAAGTTTATCTCAATTCTACATTTATCAATTTATCTCGTATCGATTGATTCGAACGATAAAAAATTCTCAAAGTGGCTGAGATTTTTCTGGAAATTTTTGTGTAAATTGCAATGCTCAGTGATTCCAAACTTTTGGCCGGTAGTGTATGTGCGATAAAAGCATAAGTTCGTTTCGTTGGTTTATTTTTGAAACATTGTTTCGTTATGGATTTTCATTAGTCTTGCGAAGTTTCTTGGTCTGTTGGTACATAGTCAAATTTCCAATAGCAAAATATTAATTTAAGGCATAATGGGTCGTCGGAAAAGCTCTGGAAAAGCAAGGAAAAATTCGTACTTATAAAGAAATGGGCCTTTCTCGCAGGGAGATTTCAAGAAAAATTCAACCAAGTTTGAATGTCGTAAATAATTTCATCAGAAAAGGCGAAAATTATTCTAAACTTATATACTCTGGCCGGCCTGGTGCCCTGACAAAACGGGAAAAAAGGACAATTCTAAGGGTTGTATCAAATTCTAGTCTCTTTGCTCGTTCAGTATCAACAAAAGTCAGTGTTTCAAGAAAAAATACTCCAACAATTAACCCTTTGCACTCGGAGGTCATTTTGTTATAGGAAAAGTTGCAAATCGGATCTTTGAAATTTTTTCAAACTAACGTAGAAATAAACTGTGCTACTCTATTTAAATATTCAATGTATTCTCTATTTCACTATGGTGAACAAATTTATAACTCGCTGTCTTGATTAATTATTTACCAAGTGAGAATTATTTAATGTCGCCTCTCAGTCGCCACTCGATTGCAATGGGTTGAGTATAAAAAATGAAAAAGGAAACCTTTTCTACTGGTCAAAAGTATTTGCGACAGAATGGAGTTTGGCTGAACGACAATGTCATGGACCAGTGAGTGGAAAAATATAATAGGGTAAAGTAGCCTAATATGAGACCCCAGCATATCTCCGTTACAGAACTCTTGAATGTCGTAGCGATGCTGTTTTCTTTCGTAATTAACCGTGTTACGAATCGCGATCGTTTGTTGCGAAACCGATAATTGTCCCTCTTTTTGAGTCAGACCATTTAAGGAATCTACTCGAGATAGGGGACTCAGGTAGTGCTCGAAAGGTAGATTATTAACGTACAACAGTTTTCTGTTAAAACTATATATTTGTGAATGAACGTGAACAGAGCGCGAAATGCCTAAGCTTACCGATAGGAAAATTGTGTGTCGTGTCGTGTGGTGTTCGCTACTTTATAAACTACGCGTGTGTTGTGATTGGTGGTGTGAAAACTGTCGTAGGTGATGGAAGTGTGTGGTGATTGGTTTTTTCGGTGTGTGTCTGCTGGTGGTGTGAAAGTGGGAAATTTGTTCTTACATTTGTTATATTGCTTGTCTGAAAATTGGTGATGTCGAAGGTCCGTTTTATTGCTTAGGGCATGTGGTGTCCAGGTGTGAGCGTCGTCGAATTTTTGGTATAATAAAGTAATTTGCCCATGCCGGCTAAGACCTCGCTTTTTAGAAGCTGCTGTCTATTGAAAATAGCGATGTTATTGTTCGGCTCGTCGGTACGGCCGAACATCCCAAGCGGCGTCTGTTACGCATGTGACAACCGCGTTAATTATCAAATGAAATATGAAATTTGATCAAGCGTCTTCAACAAGCATATTTGTGCAACACGTTGCAGAAAGTTTTTCAAGTGGTTCGATTAAATTACAAATACCTCGGAAATAGTAAGTTTATAATCATTTTCATAAATACTGTTGTATAGTGTATGCAATGGAGTTTAAGGCTTACCAGTTGCGCATCGTTAAATAACGAAGACTTAATCTCGAAGCTACTTAATAGCTATCGTGTTATTGTTTCGGAGTATGCAATGGAGTTTAAGGCTTACCAGTTGCGTATCGTTAAATAACGAAGACTTAATCTCGAAGCTACTTAATAGCTATCGTGTTATTGTTTCGGAAGTTCCTGTTATAAGAAGAGTCTCATATTAGGTACCCAATTTTGTTTCAGTG